ATATTCTTAGTTTTATTAATGGATCCATAATTTATGCAGGAAAATTGGTGAGATAACTATGATTTTGGTATTTGAATGGGTGGTGTGGGGGGCAGATGTGGATCTGTTTCATTTGAAATATTGAGCCCCTCCAAGTTAAAAACTGAAATTGCGCCTAGGGTTGCACCAAAAACCAAAATCGATTTTGTCTAAAACCTATTTTGCGTAGAAATCGCCGACTTTTCTTCATTTTTTGTATGTTTTTCTGACGCCTTTAAAAACTATTTGGAAGATTTTACTTTTAACCTCTCATAGTACCAATTAGATTTACTTTCCTACCAGAAAAGATGCTAATGAAGATAATCGAAGTATTTTAACGGCCCAAAAAGTTGATGCCAGACACAAGAGAAAAAAAAATACATCATTGTAAAATCAATATACATTCATCTCTCTACTCAGAATCTAAAATGAAACCAAAAACCTTTAAAAATATATTTGCACGATTTTTTTATAGACGTTTGAGATTCACGTTCAGACGAAATGTTATTCCAAGAGTCTAATCACATATAATCTATTATAGTTAACTACAATAATTATACATTATAAATATAATCGTTGTTGCGGCGCAATAAGCGATAATATTATTGTTCTTATAAAACCAAACTGACTGACAAAAACCGCGCGTAAATCGCGTAAACCAAATGAATTTTTCCGATCGGATTTTCACCGTCAAGTTTTTTGTCGTACGGCCAAAACCGTGTAACGTGAAAGGAGCCGTCTTCACTCAGAATGTACAAAATAAATAACATAACGAATAGTAGGATTCAGTAAAATATAATAATAATAATATTCAATATTACTTTCTATTCTTGGAATAGATATTTCGTATCGCGGTTCGACAGGCATCGAAGGGGATCGGTGGTGGTGTATATTTAAGGAGTGAGGTATAGGCAATATTTAAAGTGCCTGCGTGTTTCATTTGTGACTGTGTGCGTAGTAAATGATTATTAGTATGTGTACGGGTCTCTGTCCTACACCAGGTACTACCCACTCTACATCTTATCTGCTAATTGACAAATAACTATAACAACACTGTATAGTAATACACGGTAATAATAATTACGTAAATACCCGCATACGCCGTCTTCTACGTTCTATATTATCATAGAACGTATTATTGTTCGACGTCTACACACATATTTTTAGCTTTACTGCAAAAACCTTCACAATTTAATTTCGAATAATTTAAAAATGTATTTATTATAAAAACAATAATTTTCTATTTATTTTAGGTAGGTATAAAGGATAATATATTATAATAATACACGTTGTATGTATTAATTTAGAGAGTATATTAAAAAAATAAATATACAAATATTATGGTTCCGGTAAACCAGATCTTATAGGTAATCCTCGATCAAATCTCGAGTCTATAATTTCTGGGACTAAAGATTCCATATAAAATTTTGTGCATTGTGGTTCAATATTATTTTTCCAAAATTCTTCGTCTCTTAATATTTTATCAACTACAAAACCTATAAAAAAATATAAAATATTAGATTATGTTGATTTGAAATAAAAAATGAAGTAAAAAGTATAAGTTACCTTTGGGCGTCCACACTACAAAATAGCACCATTTTCGTTTTGTAATATTAAGTTGTCCTTGTACTTGGAAATAGTAACAATTATTTTTTTTTTAATATTAGTTTTTCATCATTATAAATCATAAATTTTAATTTTTTGTTATTTACTGCTTCTTCCGGTAAATACTCCTTTATACTTTGAGGACACTTAATTTCAACTATTGCGTCTTTGCCTATTAGTCCATCGGGACTTGCGGCTAAATAATTAAGTTTTGTATGTATAAATAACCCTGCTGGTTCAATTTTAAAATCAAATTTTTTTTCAAAATCTTTTTTGGCCATTGGTTCATTTTCAATGCCGTACCTAGAGTATGAATAAAATAACATTTAACTACTTAGATTTTAGAGTACTTATACAGTATGTTTGATTACTATAATGCTCCATAATTCTCATCTGGTCCGTCAATAATTTTTGTTCTCTTTGGAAAAGATCTTATAATTTATAATTAAAAAAAAAAAAATCAGTTGAATATAATATAATGTATTATATTACTTGTTTTTAAGTAATAAAATGGTTAGAATTATTTTAAGAAAATGAGAATACGATATTATTCACTGCATAATTAAATAAAAATTTAAAAAAAAATACTATTATATTATATTATTAAGTATATAATAATAATATAACAATTTACAAATCTAAGAGTACCTATATATATAAGCTATATAAGAACTAGTTATTTATAGATTTAGCCCTCCTCATCTGTTTAATATAATCGAATTTAAATTATTATATAATACCTTTCGAAATTTAAGTCTACATTTTAATTTTAATTTTGATCTTTCTACTCTTTTTATATATTGTTTTGTAAATAATCCAGGGCTAGTATTCGTAATTTGTTTATGTAAATTACTAATATATTTTTGTAAACAATTATACGACGTTGCCGCTGTATTACACCGTGCACTATATGAGTCTATAAAGTGTTAGTTTTACATAATATGTCAAACATATAATACGAAAATATAATTTGTAAAATATAANAGTTCTGATTTAGATGAAAACTACGTCCCATCGCGATCGATTAATAAAAATCTATTAGGATCGTTTAGACCCGTGACTAGATCACAGAGTAATCTTCAAAAAGAAACATTAATAAAAGATCGTAAGCAATCGAAAAGTTTTAATTCAAAAATATTAATAGATTTAAAAGATAATACTCAAACTTTAGAATATAATAGCACAATGGCACTCCCTTCTTCAACCACATTATCCTTAGAGACAGCAATTAAATTAATCCCACATTTCAATGGAGAAAATGTTCAGGAGGTGTACCCATTTATAAATGCATGCAATTTTGTTATGCAAAATGTTGAAGAGACCATACAGCCTGTGCTCTTACAGGTTATAATAACCAAATTAGCGGGCAAAGCTTTCGCAATAACCCAACATAAGGAAATTTCCACATGGAAAATACTTAGGGAAAATTTAGAAGACACATTCTGTGCTACACGCGCACCAGGATATCTTCAGTTAGAGCTCACTACGACTAAATTCCAACAAGGAGAAACCGTAAGAAAGTATGCAACCAAAGTAGAAAAACTATTGCATGAACTCTGCAATGTAAGCACAAAGGATAAAACGTCCAGTGACGCAAAAGCTATACATAACTACATAAAAGAAACAACCTTAACTATATATATTGAAGGTTTACCATCTTCTATTCGAGGTGTAGTGAAATCAAAGAATCGCCCAACGTTAGAAGAAGCCATAAAGTATAGCTTAGAAGAAGAAAAAATTTATCAATCAAATAAGGGAACCCAACGTTTGTTGAATAACAAACCAAATTATAGGTATGACAGTAAATATTGTAAAAATTGTCGGAAATCAAACCATAATACAAATGAGTGCAGATATGGAAATCATAATGTTGATACTGGACAACAAAATAAACAATCCAAAGGATTCAATAATCAAAGAAATCAGAATACTAAACAAGTATCATGTATTTATTGCAAGAAATTTGGTCATACAATAGAAATATGCTATAAGAAGAAAAATGCAGATTCAAGAAAAGAAAGTCAAGGTAACCCATCAACGTCGGGAAACGCCAAAGAATCGGTCAAAAAGGGCATTCGTCCGATTCGCGAATTGAAAATAATAGCCCAACACTAAATGTTCTAACGTACAAAATTAAATTAAAAGATAATCATGCTACATATAAAATACCACAATGTATTAAAGGAATAGCCAATTTACTCATAGATACGGGAGCAGATCTTAATATAATTAAAATTAATGTACTTCAAGACGATGTCATGGTATCTGATAGTAAAATTTATAAATTGCAAGGAATTAGTGATCAATTAGTTAGTACATTAGGAAGTACTACACTAAACGTATCAATAAACAATAAAGTTTACGAAACAGAATTCCATGTAGTTAATTCAAACTTTCCAATAAACGGAGATGGAATATTAGGAAACCCCTTCCTAAAAGATAACCAGATGTTAATCGATGTTGGTAAAGAAGAATTAATCTTTAAAGCAGATAGTACAACTACTATCCCAGCACGACATGAAATGATTATTCCAATACAATTCGATGTTCAAGATTTATCTGAACAACTAAACATACTCATTCATGCTCAAAAATTAGGCAAAAACATTTTATGTGGAAATATATTAAATATTGTAAAACACAATCAAGTACTTATAAATGTTATAAACCCAACAGAGGAAAATCAAGTTATACCTATACCAAAACTTTCAGATTTATCGCATGAGATTTTTGATATAGTTTCAATGGATAACATACAAACTAGTAAAGCAAATGTAAATACGGAAAATCGTATCCAACTCCTAAAAAACACGCTGAAATATGACCATATGAATGCAGAAGAAAGGGAAGTGATTCTAGATTTATGTAGTGAATTTTCAAATATATTCTATTTAGAAGGAGACCAAATGACGTGTACCAATGCGATGCAACACGAAATTAAAAGTCCTGGAGTCACTCAGCCAATTCATCAAAAGCCATATAGACTTCCTTATGCTCAAAAGAGAGAAATAGCGAAGCAAGTTGGAGAAATGCAACGAGATGGTATAATTACATCAAGCGATAGCCCTTGGAATGCACCATTATTAGTTGTACCCAAAAAATCAGATGTATTTGGAGAAAAAAAATATCGAGTAGTTATGGACTTCCGCAAACTAAACAGTATTACTGTTGGAGATGCTTTTCTAATACCAAATATCACAGAGATACTTGATCAATTAGGTAAAGAAAAATATTTTACTTGTCTAGATATGGCAAGTGGATATCACCAAATACTTCTACATCCAGATGATCGAGAAAAAACCGGTTTCAGTACGGACCAGGGCCATTTTGAATTTCAAAGAATGTGTTTTGGACTGAAAGGAGCACCAGCTACATTCCAAAGACTGATGAATCAAGTACTTACTGGTCTTAACGGTATTAATGCTTTTGTTTACTTAGATGACGTCATCGTAATCGGGACATCATTAGAAGATCATATAAATCAATTGAAAAACGTTTTTGGTAGGTTTCAAAAATACAATTTAAAACTACAACCATCAAAATGTGAATTCTTGAGGAAAGAAGTTTGCTACTTGGGACACATTATCACAGATAAAGGTGTCAAACCAGACCTAAAAATCACAGATTGTGTTGTAAATTTTCCAACTCCAAAAACTGAAAAAGATGTTAAGTCTTTTCTAGGCTTGGCAGGTTATTACAGACGTTTTATACCAAATTTTAGTCAAATTGCTAAACCTTTAACAACTTTGCTGAAAAAAGATGCAGTTTCATTTGGACAGATTAATGTCAAAATGCATTCTTAGAATTAAAACAATTACTATCCCAACAACCAATATTGCAATACCCAGATTTCTCTCGTCCATTTATTGTTACAACGGATGCCAGTAATGTAGCCGTTGGCGCTATCTTATCACAGGGAAAAGTGGGATCCGATTTACCAATTGCATATGTCTCACGTACGTTAAATAAAGCTGAGAAAAACTATAATACAACAGAGAAGGAATTACTAGCGATAGTTTGGGCCGTTAAGCAGTTTCGTCCCTATTTGTTTGGGCGTAGATTCACAGTTGTCACAGACCATAAACCGTTGACTTGGCTATTTAATGTCAAAGATCCGGGGGCTCGATTAATGAGATGGCGTCTACAACTGGGGGAACACGATTATGAGATAACTTACAAGCCAGGAACATCGAATTCAAATGCAGATGCGTTAAGTCGCATTACTCAAGTTAGTTCAACTCATCATACTTCATGTATGTACGAGAAATACATAGATGATATACAATCAAAGATAATAACAAACTCAAATATCATAGAAGTGAAAGGAGATTTATTCCAAGCCACAGCAGATTTTGCACTAGGGCACTGTGTGTCCAAAGATTTTAAAATGTCTAAAGGAATAGGCCTGGAATTTAGAAGAAAATTCGGTCAAGTCGACCAGTTACTTGAACAAAATAAGCAAGTTACTGAGATAGCAACTATACAATGTGATGATCGTAATATTATATATATAATCACTAAAGAATCATATAATCAAAAGCCAACTTACGAAACAATATTTTATGCCATACAAAATTTACGGAATTTCTGTAAATCCAATAACATAAATAAAGTAGCTCTTCCCAAAATTGGTAGTGGCCACGATCAGCTTAATTGGGAACAAGCTCGTATAATGTTACGGTATATTTTCAAAAAATCTAAAATCAAAATAGTCGTTTACAGTGGCGAGTCTTATTCAGAAGAAGAGAAGCGTAAAATTATCGAGGAGTTCCAATTGTCTCCATTAGGAGGTCATCAAGGAGTTTCTAGAACGATTAAACGAATTAAGTTACACCATACGTGGAAAGGCCTAAAGAAGAATGTCATAGAATTCATAAAGAAATGTACTTCATGTCAAATGAATAAAAGTAGTAACCACACAACCCAACAACCCATGGTAGTTACATCTACTGCTAATAAACCTTTTGAGAAAATCTTTCTTGACATTGTTGGACCACTTGAAACTTCGACTGAAGGAAATTCATACATTCTCACAATGCAAGACGATTTAACAAAATTGTCTGCAGCAGTCCCATTAGTAAATCATACAGCTAACTCAATAGTGAAAGCATTTGTTGAACATTTTGTCTGTCAACATGGAATACCGGAGTCAATAGCCACGGACCAAGGACAAGATTTTTTAAGTAAAGTATTTACAGCATGCTGTAAACTTCTTCAAATAGAAAAAATTAAAACGACAGCGTATCATCCGCAGTCCAGCGGAGCCTTAGAGAGGTCCCATCGAACTCTAGCAGAGTATCTGAGGCACTTTGTTAAGGAAAATAATAAGGATTGGGATCAATATGTTTCTTATGCAATGTTTGTATACAACAGCACGGTTCACACGTCGACAGGATTCCAGCCTTATGAGTTAGTGTATGGATATCCAGTCGAAGTACCTCATTCATTGCAGAAATCTCCACAGCCATGTTATAATTACGAGGATTACAATTTTGAAATCAGAAAACGATTTCAAGAATCACACAGAATAGCGCGTGATAAACTAATTGAAAAGAAACAAAAATCAAAACTAACGTACAATAAAAAGCAACATGAAATTATAATTAATGTAGGAGATAGAGTTCTTGTAAAAGATAACAAACAAAAGGGAAAGCTACAATCCAAATGGATGGGTCCCTATTTAGTTACAACTCTTCATGATAACGAAACCGTATCCATACAACGTGGACGCAAAAAAGTAGTAATACACAAGAACGAATTGAAAATGTTTAACGCATAACTTAAGAAATAATCAAAACAATTAAATTAAATCTTCCATCTAATCTCGATATACCGGTACAACTAGACCTATCGGGCATGTCAGATATGTTTAATATTATGCAAACAAATATTGTCAGACATAATGATATAATTATGTTTATAAATATTATTCCAATAGTTTCTAGTAGTTTATTCAGTTTATATAATATTATACCTAACCCAGTGTTAGTAGATACCAAAATTTATATGTTCATTAAACCTAGGATTAAGTATTTAGTTTTAACTATTGACCAATAATTGTATATTAATTTAGATCAAAATGAATTGAATTTGTATTTGTACACTGTTAATCATAATATTTAGCTTAAGCATAGTTATAGTATATAAATGTAAACCAATCGAGTTCGACGGATCCAACAGCCATAGAACTCAATGTAACTCTAGAAAGTGGAAAATCATCACCCAAAATAGTTCTTTAAAAACATAGGGTCATGATCTTCCGTCTAACCCGGGGGATGTTATGAGCATATTGCTATAGTATATAGTATAGTAGTATAAGCCCTTTGTATTAGAGCATAAGAGTATATTATTGTAGTCTATCGATAACGCCTAGTGTGTACGCGGCTCCGAGAATATTGTAGCCATACGGCACCCGTGAGAGAGCCGCGCAGTTAGTCGAGCTACCACTTTTAAAACTGTACGTTGTCACAACGACTATTATAATAAATTACTCTTTAATTATATAGTTCGACTCGCATTAAATTATATTAGTAACTAAAAATCCTTAGAACTATTGCGTTGTACTTTCTCCTAAAATTGGATCCTCACACTACCGAACAAATAAAACAACCCGTACGAGCACAACAACTCGTATAGGCACAACATATGTATTAATTTAGAGAGTATATTAAAAAAATAAATATACAAATATTATGGTTCCGGTAAACCAGATCTTATGGGTAATCCTCGATCAAATCTTGAGTCTATAATTTCTGGGACTAAAGATTCCATATAAAATTTTGTGCATTGTGGTCCAATATTATTTTTCCAAAATTCTTCATCTCTTAATATTTTATCAACTACAAAACCTATAAAAAAAATATAAAATATTAGATTATGTTGATTTGAAATAAAAAATGAAGTAAAAAGTATAAGTTACCTTTGGGCGTCCACACTACAAAATAGCACCATTTTCGTTTTATAATATTAAGTTGTCCTTGTACTTGGAAATAGTAACAATTATTATTTTTTAATATTAGTTTTTCATCATTATAAATCATAAATTTTAATTTTTTGTTATTTACTGCTTCTTCCGGTGCATACTTTGAGGACACTTAATTTCAACTATTGTGTCTTTGCCTATTAGTCCATCGGGACTTGCGGCTAAATAATTAAGTTATGTGTGTATAAATAACCCTGCTGGTTCAATTTTAACATCAAATTTTTTTTTCAAAATCTCTTTTGGCCATTGGTTCATTTTCAATGCCGTACCTAGAGTATGAATAAAATAACATTTAACTACTTAGATTTTAGAGTACTTATACAGTATGCTTGATTACTATTATACAAACCGAGTAGCAGAGTTTCCTTGAAATATATCATAGAGTATGTTTTTGACGGTGTTTGCCCGAGAAGTGCTTGCTCTAAGTTTACACACTTTGCCAAAATTGAAAGCTGTGAGACGTGATTTCCTATACTTTTGCCATTCATTATTATTGTGCTGTCCTACAGTTCTTCTTTCCACTTCTTCTATTTCTTTTATAGTTAACTTTAAATTATTTAAAAATATTTTTTCCTCTTTTAAATATTTGTCATGTGTCATATCAGTTATTGTACACTCTAATTCATTTACAGCTCCATATTTCTCATCTGGTCCGTCAATAANTATTTTTTAAAAAATGAGAATACGATATTATTCACCGCATAATTAAATAAAAATTTAAAAAAAAATACTATTATATTATATTATTAGGTATATAATAATAATATAACAATTTACAAATCTAAGAGTACCTATATATAAGCTATATAAGAACTAGTTATTTATAGATTTAGCCCTCCTCATCTGTTTAATATAATCAAATTTAAATTATTATATAATACCTTTCGAAATTTAAACGTCTACATTTTAATTTTAATTTTGATCTTTCTACTCTTTTTATATATTGTTTTGTAAATAATCCAGGGCTAGTATTCGTAATTTGTTTATGTAAATTACTAATATATTTTGGTCCACAATTATACGATGTTACCGCTGTACATCACTTACTGTTTTTTGTATGCGATGAGTTTGCCAATTTAAAAGTGATGAAACATTTCCTCTATTTTTTTTCACTTTGGATAGTTTTTGTTTTTTATTTCCCATTTTACCAAATTATTATAAATAAAACTAATCATGTTTTATAGAAACAAAATCTAAGTGACTAAAAGTGCGTAAAAATTCTACTATTTTACACTATTTTACCAAGTCCAAGTGTAGTGATGACGTGAGACGAAGCTCAAATGAACAATATTTCATATTTTCATATTATATTATTATATTATATTTCATTCATACCAAATTATCAATATACGCAAGATATTAAATATGTTATTATACATTTAATAATTGTATCGTAGTAATACCTAGAATAGTATAATTACGATTTATAATCTATCGCAGACCGTGGCATGCGATATCGGTGAAGGAACGGTAGTGGCGGAGGAACTCTTCCGCACGCGGCACGCGCGTACAAGTCACTGCCGCACTGTCGCGCGCATGAACGATCCAGAACGTGTTTTTTTTACTAAAACTATGTATTTTTGGTCCATCCTACCGATCGATCCAATAATGCGATAACATTTTTGAAAACTAATCTGAATTCGTTATAATGTCTACTTGAGATAGGTCAGTTCACATTTTAAGATTTCTGATTTATATTCCAAATAATCAACGTTTGAAAATGCCGAAATTTCAAAATATTCAAACTAAATTTTTAGATGTTAGGGGGGTGAAATTAGGGAAATTGACTGACCGATCTCTAGTAGACTTTATAACGAATTCAGATTAGTTTTCAAAAATGTTATCGCATTACTACATCGATCAGTATGATGGAATAAAAATTGGATGTTTTGGCTAAAATAACTGTCCGCCACCGATCCCCTTTAGGTATAATACTTGTATTATCATTTTAATCAAATGCAAACTAGTATTTTTAATCAGCTATATTATGTTTGCGTAAACCAATTGCTATTCCAGCAGTGAACGATCGTCCAGGCTAATCGGACGATTTTTATACAGCATTTCTAATGGGTTACATAGAGGTCATCATATTATTTTTCAGAGAAGTTGTCGGATTATTAGAACGCATTTAATTAGCCAATGCCGGACTATTCATACACGTATAACTAATAAAATCCAAAATTCAAATGTTTATATCACTATAAGCAATCACACACGATCCTATTGTTTTGTCGTTTCGACCGTTATAAGAGAACGTTAAACATGCATTTGTTGTCTCCGTTTTACAAAACCGATTTTTTTTTTGTTAGTTTTAGTTTTATCAAAAACATAAAATATATGAAAAAAGAGGTTATATTCGATAAGAAGAATTTTGTCAGTTTCGCCGGGAAAATAAACGATTTCCAAGTGAGTGTCTAGTTTAAATTGTTAAATAAATCGCTTGCTTACTAATACATCTTTAACTTAATAAGTTTTCTTTTTAATAAATATTACACGATTCATTTATAAATGTTAGATTATAAATAGACCAAGTCAAAAAAGTAGTAGTGAGCAAGCAATTTGTTTCTCAATTTTTACTTGAGACCCAATTAAATGTCATTTTATTTTTCGGCGAAGCTGACAAACGTCTTTTTGTTACCGAACTTGGTTTCTTTTTGACATTTATGCTTTTAGGTGGGATTTCACCACTTTTTAAAAATGTAAAATTAGTTCTACCTAAACATAATAATATAATATATATATGTACATGGCTACATAGTATAATATTAGCAGTGATGGTTTTGATCAAACTTTAAGGGAGACGGGTAACAATGGCCTATTTATAGGGGACATGGGGGCATAGCCCCCAATCGCCTACCAAGTCCCCCAACAATTTTTCAAATCACCCTATAAAGTTTCCCCTTATATTTTTCGGGATATTCACCTATCGAAGGGGGGTTAACTTAAAATGTCAACCAACCTTCTCCAATTGTATACCTCAAATTACAGCATCAAACATTGGCTCCACCAACCTAATTAAAACATATGACACATGTATAAATGTATTAAATACATAAAGCTACGTAGGTAATTTAAACTAACAATAAAGCAACTTAAGATTAAGCGAAAACAAATATTATATATTTGTAATATTTAATTAAAAAAGTCATATTATCATAGGCGGAGATTTGATTGGATTTTATGGGGGGCTTAAATTTTTCTTTGCAAAATAAGCCGTGGAGGCCTTTCCCCCACACCCCCACTCTAATATCAATATTACCTTCACTTTTCACACGGTTTTACAAAATACAAATATATTATATAACAACAACGAAAAGTACAATGTGAGTATGTGACACGTGTAGGTAACATTTACATTATAATATTATATTGGAAGTTTCGGCCGAAATTACGATTTCGGATTTACGACAGTAAACAACGTTACACGAAAGACGAAACGGTCGAAACGGCAGTCATTCGGCACGTTAATAATGTTTATCAAAGTCTGATTATCGGAAATTTCTATTTTTGTCATTGCGATAATGCGATAACAATCCGTCGCGACGGTCAGCCGGCGCGCACCGATGACGATTAGGTATAAATATAATATTATGGTATAATAATTATTATATTGACATTTAACAATATTTCAAGAAAAAAAATATTTTGTCCCAAGATTTTGGCAATTGTTGTAAAATAAGTACCTATTTTAATATTTTATACTATGAAAAATGTTTAATACTTTTGGAGGGGCTTTCGATTTTGTTTGGGGGTCTAAGCTCCCCCAATCTCCGCCTAAGCATATTATTAAAATGAAAATTTGATATTTCTTTTTTAACGAAATTTTGTTTGTACATTCAAGCACTCAAATTCAATTAATTCATTGTATACCGAATGTAACTACTACGAATGATTACTATGGTAATAAGAAATAAAGTTCAATCCTTCTATTAATTTAAGCCACATGGGCCTTATCATCAACTTTTATATTATTATATAACCGTTATATTTGTATAATATTAAAAACCAAGAAGGGGGGAGGCGATCGCCCCTATCGCTCGCCCTAAAATCCACCACTGAATATTAGTACCAATCTTAAAATAACGCCAAAGTTAAGGTGCTCTAATTACAAAACTAGACAAGTAAGTGATAATTATTTCTATCTAGTTTGAGTTAGAATACTGTGAAAAAATTAAATAATATTTAAGTTTATCAAAAAGTTAGAAACCAGTTAGTTTATACATCAAAATAAAAGAAAAAAAAACCCATAAGCACTGGACGTGCGTGTCAATCATTAAACATTAATCATACAATACTTTATGTAAGTATTCTTTTCTTTGATGAGGCTCCTAGCAATAATTTTAAATTGCTCTATTGCATTTTATACACGCGCGCCGTGATTTTATATATTTTGTACTTGATCAAAAATAGTATATTAAAAAAAAACTTTGGAATAACTTTTTCAAATCAACATGTTAAGATACTTGATATTTACTGAAAAAACACAACTAATTAAATTACTTTGTTATAATATAAACAAAGTAACTATTAAAATTGAAAGTATATTAATGTATAATTTTTTAACTAACGTAAATGTTAAATTTTAGAACAGCTTGTTTCTTAAATGTTTTTTAATACAAATTTCGAAAAAAGTTAACATTTTCCGAGATAATGAGTATCTTACGATAGATTAGTCACTCCGTATATAAAATTGCAAGGAAGTAGGTAATAACATCTCTCATTATAACATTGCCACAGAGCTGAGTTTTCCAAGTGTCTTACTACCAGGAACGTCCCTAGAAAATCTTCAAGGGAGGTAGGAGTGAATCAATTTTTTAAGTCAATAATTACTATAGGTGTATTTTACGCCTTATATATTTGCCTTGGAGACGCAAATGTAAAAGCGCTACTAGGTACACACTTTCCCCCCTATTTTCTCCGTCCAATATAATAATTAATATTAAATAATATTTACTAACGGTCGCCAATTATTGATAATGCACAGATGATAAGGCGGCCGTTAAAACTATAATAATATTTGACCTGTTGCTCAATAAATCAATCCGAAAACGCTTCGATGGTAATGATGACGGCGTTTATTTCAGACCTTTATCTCCGGGAGGTATGGGGGGGGGGGTATTGTATATTTCCAAGGGAGCGTGCCAAAGGCCGACGCTAACACAGAATATAATATCAATATCAATTAAGACGAATCCTTTTAAAACAGGATTAGAAATGCGTTTTTTTTCTTTTTTTGCTGCCGACCGAATATTTACACACATTCATTATTTTTTTTTGTATTTTTGCGAAATTTATTACTTAAAGTTGTAATACATTAGTTTTTTTTTATAAAATTCGAGATAGATATTTTATACATATTATGTATTTTGAAACGCAATTTCGGTGTCATAAATATTTACTGAAGACGAATCGGTAATTTTCTAAAGCTCGTTTGATAATACCGCTAAATAATATCAATCGATTCACTGATTTTTTTTTATTAAACATAATTTTATTAACAATTTATGGAAACTTCAAACAACCTGTAGAAACGTATAGATTTATCCTTAATAAATATTTGTAACAACAAAATGATATTTCAAAAAATAATAAAATGGCTATCTTAGATTTTGTAAAATAAAATGTAAAAATATCGAACACAACTACCCTTCAATAGTTGAATCTTGAGACACTTTGTATATTTACCCTTACAATCCCGAAAGAAGTTTTTTTTTATAAATTTCAAATATTTTCAAAATCCGGTATTGGCGATAGTGTACAATTATTTACACTAATTTGCTGCCAAACGATTTTTGATTTTTTTTTTCGGAAATATGTACCTACCTCGTTGTTAATATAAGAATGTCGTTTTATATACAGTTTTCTTTCAGACCAATTATTTAATTGATAACAGTTGAAATTTTTTTAAAAATTTTAAATTTATTCAGCACAGTATATGTTTTAAGAAAAAATTAATTCAGCATTGAAATTAAATAATTCAATTAATTCAGCTGTATTAATTGCAGTATTTGACTTTAGTTCTCCAGTCGACACGCATGTTTTAATTCTTTTTATTTAATCTACAACAGTAGCCCATCCACATGTAAAGTATGTCCGTCTTTTTGATATTGTGTTAACCAGAAGGAGAAATTAATATTAGTTTACATTGGGAAAAGTGTTAGTTATGAACTAATATTAATATTTAAGATGAAATAATACATGATCTGATCTGATATTTTTACACAAGCAGCGATTTTGTATGCGATTTTACGAGTGCATCTTGCATAACTTCGTCCTAACACCATCTATACTTGTTGCGATTACACAGAGGGAAACATTATTGGCCGATTATCTGTCTGAAAGTGACCTAAAGACTGGCTAGGACTTTTTAAATTAATGATACCCACAGTTATATTGTGGTTATGATTAGTGTTTGGAACGTTCATAATATTAGGTTAATATAGGTCATATTCAAAAAGTTCATTCATATTCATTGTCCAATAAAATTAATATGTTGGAAAACTTTTATTTGATTTTTATAAACGTCGGAAAATACTCAAAATATTTTGGCGATTTTTTAGCTATTTATAGACATTTTGTTTTTTAGTTTGTTAGATACTATGTGAATATCACTGTTTGACTAAACATAAATGCTTGAAAATTTAACATGAGGTTCATTATAAGTGGTACTTAGTGGTACAAAATAAGCCAAGTGTATGTAGTAATTTTTTTTATTATGGTTTTGAGATCAAATTTCGATGAAATCATATATATTACCTTTTAAAACTTGTATAACTGCACTCGGTTCAGAATCATTTTTTCATTAGCAATGGTTTATAGATGTTTAGAGATATAAATTAAATACATAAATGTATCCTACTTTCCTAACTTTTCATCTAGAACAGTGGTGCATCCATCAGCAATATCAGCTCCTTTTTTTTTTTTTTTAAATTTTGCATATAAAGTATGCATGATTTACAACTAAATACAATTTTATTTTATTTGATTAATAAACTAATAATTAGTAACATAATGTTACTCTATACATTAGTATTACATTGAAATAAGTTTGAACATGGTTTTACACTGTTGGTTTTTCATCTTCAGGTATTTCTTCTTTATTTTTATTCGGATCGTCTGGCTTCATTGCTGGGAAAAATAGTACTTCCTAAAATATTCAAAATATACAATTAATAATGAATAAAACCAATTTGTAATTTAATATACTGAACAATACTAGCATTGTTTTAATAAAAGATGAACTTAACACTAATATTCTACTTACTTTAATATTATTCGAATCTGTTAAAAACATTGTTAGACGATCGATACCAAGACCCCAACCGGCTGTAGGTGGTAAACCATATTCTAATGACGTACAGAAGTTTTCATCTATTAACTGTGCTTCATCGTCACCAGCTGCTTTATCCTACCATACATAGAAAATTATAGATTATTTAACATAAATTCTAATATTTTATACATTACAATCAAATATAATTATATAAGCAAAGAAACTACCTTTGCCTGTTGTTCAAATCGTTCCCTTTGAATCATAGGATCATTTAATTCGGTGTAAGCATTGCATACTTCTTTTTTCATAACAAATAATTCAAATCTTTCTGTTAAACCAGGTATGGATCGGTGCCATTTAGCTAAAGGTGACATTACTTGTGGATGGTCACATATAAATGTTGGATTAATACATTTTTCTTCAAGAAATTCTCCTACAAGCTTTGAATTTTATAAATATACACTATTATTTATTGTACCTATAAATATAGAAATCTGTTTTTATTTTTACCTTGTCTAATAGTCTAGCTGAAGTTCTAGGAGCTGGGCATTCTATTTCATGTTTTACACAAAGATCGCTGAGTAACTCATTAACGTCGCTTGAAGATAATTCTGTAGGACTGGGGAGTTTTACTGACAGAGCTTCTTCTAAAGCTGGGAACATATAAATTCTTTTGAAAGGTGGAGTAAAATCTATTTCTACGGCTTCTGTATTACTGTCAACACCATCAGGATGATATTTTATTTTATAGGAGCCATAAATACTTTTTACCAGACCTGTAATAGTTTAATTTAGTAGATCATTAGTTATTCCTATAACTTTCAATAATATAATTTACCAGATAAAAGATCTTCTGTAATTTGCATAAGATCATTGTAATCAGCATATGCCATATAAAATTCACAAGTAGTGAATTCAGGATTATGAGTCGTGTCGATTGCTTCGTTACGAAATTGTCTGCCAATTTCATATACACGGTCAATACCTCCCACTACAAGCATCTGTTGATTGATTTAAATTACAATGAGAAAAATAAAACAAAATGTATAATAATTATAATTACTTTGTGATACAGTTCAGGAGCAACTCTCATAAACAAATTCATATTCAGATCATTATGATGTGTCATAAATGGTTTAGCGGTGGCACCTCCAGCAATCATATTCATCATTGGAGTTTCGATTTCAAGAAATCCTAAATTGTCCAAAAATCGTCTAACATAGGAGATTATTTTTGCTCTTACTATAAATTTATTACGCACATATTCATTAATGATCAAGTCCAAATAACGTTGCCTATATCTAGTCTCCTTATCTTTTAGACCGTAATGCAGATGAGGTAACATGTGTAAACACGGAGTCAACAATTTTATGTTTTTAGGAAAAATAGATAACTCCCCTTTCTTGGTTTTTCCTGGATTACCCGTGACACCAATTATATCGCCACGCCTTACTTTTGACGTGTCTGCAATGAATCCTTCATCAGTTGCATATTGTTTAGCATTTGCCATTACTTGGATTTTTACACCTTCCCCGCGTAAATCATAAAATATTAATTTAGGACCAGATTCCCGAATTGCATGAACTCTGCCTAGAACCAAAAATGCATTTGTTTTATAATGCTAATAAATAGCCAACTTATTTCAAGTATACAAAACATACCAGCAACACTATACTCTTCATCATGTAAAATTTGTGTTTTGGTCAAAGAACTAAACTTTTCAATAAACTCTTCTAAAGATATGGTTACATTAAATTTGTGTGGATAAGGTTCTTCACCATTTTTTTTCATTTGAGTAATAGTTTGTAAACGTAAACTATAGAATTCCTAAAGCAATTTTTTCAATTAATTACAATCATTATAAATTGATATTATGTTTTATTTTTACATTAGGACTGATATCTGCAGATTTAGTAGCGCCAGATACATCATTTTTTTTTTTTACAGCTGGCTGTTTATTTTGAACAGTTTTAGTAGTTTCTTTTTCTAATTTTTCTTTAGCTTTTTGTTCGGCTTTCAATCTTCGTTTTAGTTCACTAAAAAAAAATATATACAATTTATAACCAAACATACCTAAGTACTTGTAGATATTTTAGCTGGACACAGAGTGAACGTAAATATTTTAACTGATAATATAATATAGAAATTTAATTAAATTACATATTCAATAACAGTGTACTGATATCTTGTTTGTTGAAATATTTTTTTTTCAAACTATTCTACATATTATGGATATAGCTGAACTCTTACATAAAATGAATAAAATAAACCCAATCTACTATTAATTCCATGCAAGTATAATTATTTATATAATGATTAATATTATTAATAATACCTAATGTGCAGACTTCTTAATTTTAAAAGCTAAATCAATACTACAAAAAAATGATTAACAATTATTTCAGTAAAAGTTTATAATTGGTCTATGAAATTAAATACCAGTTCAGTAGGCATTTGTTTAAAATATATCATTCATTTTTCGGGGGACATTCACTCCGATACCAGTTACCGAATGAAATAATACTTTATTACCTTTGTGACCGACATGATGTGTATATTAATCTTGTCTGGAATAACAAATTTTTTGCGCATAGTCTCATAAATACACTCATTGTGTACAGTTTTATATTATAAATATATCTAACTAATATTAGTTTTATGTCTCTCTAATCCTATTCAAATAATTAATAATTACAGTTTAAGGGATGATATTCAAATTGTTGACAAATATGGTCCGATACATCAAACGTATTTACGTGCAAATAAAGTTGAATTAATGCAAAATAAAAACTATTGCAAACTTTATACGTACTTCTTTGATAATGGAGCCTCGGAACCTTCCATTTTTAACAAATTAGGACTCTGGATTTGGTGGGAATATAATTTATAGTTAATAGAAATATATAAAAAAAAAATTAATAGAAATCTTGAACAATTTATAAGGGAATCCAAAAGTTAGATTATGTACCTATGTGATACGGTGTAATAATGTAAATATTTTTGAGGATAAAAATCTTTGAATCTTTTTAAAAATTTGTTACCTATATTCTTGCACTATCCACAGCTACTATCTACAAATCTTGATAGTATAAATTACAATAATATATTTTTCACAAAAAATACCGATAATATAATTTTTTTTATAGGTGTCTAAAACATTTTACTGAGTAAATATATCGGTACAAAGTTTAAAATATTTCAACAAGAATGATTATTCGTTAAATTCATAAATAAATCATCAATCGATTAATTTTAAAGATCACAATATTTAAAACTTGTTTGATAACAAAGTAGGGTAACAGAAAAACACGAACAATAGAAAAAAAAAACTATATTGATAAGAATATGTAGTGATATGAATTTTGGATTTTTCACACAATTATTATAGTCCATATATTTTTTCATTTGATTCTTTTTTTATTTAATGAAGTTTTTTCGTTCACCGATAATATTTAATAATTATAAAAAAATAATCTCTTGCTGTTCAAAAACAATGGACACTGCTAAGAACCAATTAGATACTATAAAAATTGTTCATGCCAGATTAACTGAAAAGGTAAAGTATTTTAAAATAATTAGATATTAACTATGGGTATATGCTATTATTATTATTGGTAGGAATCTAGTTTAGGGCTCAAGCTCGTCTTCCAAATTTTTTTTTTTCAAAATGTGTATTTTTTAATGCTTAATCCATTAGTATAATCAAAACTTACCTATCATACTTACTTTTGAGGTTATTGCACATAAATCTTGAAAAATGGAATTTTTGTACTTTTTAAAATTATTATTATGATTTGTAATTATTCATATTTTGATAATAAAGTTTTTTTTTATTGAAGTTTGAATAAGTCTATCTGGCTTAGTTTCCCTATTACCTACCTGACGTGATATTGCATAAGAAATCGAGGATTATTTTCGGTTAAAACAGTCCAAGCGAGCACAGCAATCGAGTGACCTCATCAGGTCTCTTGGTGCACCCTAAATGCTTAATGTACATTAATTTCAAAAGTAAATATGATAGGTAAGTTTTGATTATACCAATGGATTAACGAACTTGGACCCCAAAAATAAATTTGTTCCTTATTATTATTACATTTAAAAAATTAAAATAATATTTAAAAGATATGTATATTAAATTTATTGTATTTTCTATTAGGCACTACTTAAAAAGATGTTAGATAATTGATAAATCTATAAATTACATTATTTCTTTTTTAACAAATTACATTTTCAACTTGTAATTGTTTTAATTTGCAGTGCAATAACTAATAATAATTAACAATAAAATATAGCCGGTATAGATATTTATTGCAGATTTAAGATGAAAAAAAAAATATAATATAACTACCTACTCACCTAAATTATGAAATCGATTTTATAATAACAATTCAAATAATATTAATCCTAGTTTTTATTTTATTTTTTAGATAGCAATGTATAAACAACAAGAGCTTCCCAATAATTATGCTCAAGAAATCGAACATCTCAAATCTGAACAAGAGTACTTGAAAGCACAGATTAAAGCACAATTATTAAAATTTGATATTGGGAAATATCTACCTGATAATGACGTGAGTGATATACAAATGTTTTCGGAACAAACGCAGTTTAGTTGCCAAACAATTGTATGAAATTTTTTTTCCAAAATGTGTGTTTTTACAAGCTTAATTTGATGGTACTTTAAAAAAAAAGTCGCTAGAACTTGGAAGTTATGGTCAAAAAACTTCAAAATGCTTGATTTTTCCAAAAGTCTTGTTTTTGAATTTAAAATACCAAAAATGCATAATTTTTTTAATTTTTTTTTCTAGAAATGGTAGTATATGCTTAACATTTTGGTGGAATCAGAATTCACCTTTTGTAATTACTTTTTATGTTATTGTTAATAAACCATTTAAAACATAATTATAATGTTATTTCAATCATTAGCATATTAAAGTAACTCAAAATTGATTTTTTGGACCTTTCTTTTTTCATTTGGTGTGTAATAACATAAAGAAGTTTTTGGTGAAATCAGACGTAAATAATATGTTTTGGATAGGAAGGAATAGTGGAAAAATGTATCTATTCTTATGGATACATAAACATCACATTCTTCGGAAAAATATAGTTTATTTAATTTTTTTTTTTACTTACTGACACCAAAATAATAAAAAAAAACTGCGATGGGGAGAGAGCTAAGGGGCATGGTGAAATTAATACGATTATAACATCAAATTATTGTTATAAATAAGAAAATATTTAATAAAGTTTTAAATTTTAATTTTTTGATGTGAATTCTTCGAATAATCTCGACATCTCAATACATATACAATAACTTTTGAGGTCTATGAACGCATTTTAATGTGTTATGTTAGGAAATTAGTGTCCAAGACTGCAATTTTTCAATTACTGCCAAAGAAATAGCCCCTTGGAGTTTTTACTCAAATAACTCATAGATATCGAAAAAATATTAATTCTGATTTTACTTAAAACTTCTTTATGTTATTACACACCAAATGAAAAAAAAAAGGTCTAAAAAATTAATTTTAAGTTACTTTAATATACAAATGATTGAAATAACATTATAATTATGTTTTATGTGGTTTATTAATAATAACATAAAATGTAAGTACAATAAGGTAATTTTGATTTTACCAGAATGTTAAGCATATAATTACAACAATTTCTTAAAAAAAATTTCAGAAAATATACATTTTTGGTAATTTAAATTCAATACACGATTTTTAGACAAATTTACCATTTTGAAGTTTTTTTGTCTATAACTTCTGAATGAAGTTTGAGCAACTTTCTTTTTGAAAGTGTCATTAAATTAAGCATGCAAAAACACATATTTTGTAGAAAAAGTAAATTTCAAAAAATCACTTGGGAGCTTAACTGTATTTATGCCATGTTTTCTATTAAAAACTTATCTATCTCTTAATGTACTATGCATATACAATAATCTACTGATGTATAAAGTTGTTGGATTAAACTTTTTTCTGCTTAAATAAACTATTTCTAATAAAAAAAAAAACTAATAGATTACTTAGCTTGTTAAAATAAACTATAGTTAAGTGTGAAAAATATGGTTTATGAATATATTGATGCATAATTGTATTATAATATTCTTTAAAATTAATTTAAAGTTGAATTTACCTATCAATAAAAAAAAAAAACTAATCATTTTTAAATGATTTAATATATTTATATACTTACATCAATTTTTAACTGATTTTATTATTTTTTCAATATGTTTTTATGTTATACAATTACAGGATGCCAAAGTAGATGTAAAAAGTTCTGATAGTCCAGTCATAAAAGATCAAACTAAACCTAAACAAATTATTTTAAATAAAACTGTTGATGCTAAGGATAATACAAATGTAAAAGATAATGCGAATGTTCCTAAAACTGAAAAAAAGCAAAAACAAAAAAAAAATAATACTAGTAAGTAGAGCAATACAATTAAAATCAAAGTTACATAATTTAATAAATATATTGAATTAATTACAAAAATTAAAACTGGAATACAAACTAAAATATTTTTTTTTAGCTCCACAAAACATTACTACCACTCCAGTTGATTTTGGTCGGTTAGATTTGCGCGTTGGTAAAATTTTAAGTGCCTCTAGACACCCCAATGCTGATGCTCTATATGTGGAAACTATAGATGTCGGAGAAGAAACACCAAGAACTGTTGTATGTATATAAATAATATGATGTATATGTTACTGTGAATGTCTGTAGTTGGTAAATACTGACAGTCACCGGTTAATGTCTACATTTATATAACAATATTGGTGAATGTTGGTTATGCCAATATTGTTTTTTTTTTAAATGTAATCTAGGGATAACGGAAAAGTCAAAATAATAGTACACTATTATTAAGATAATACTACATATAATATTAGACCTACTACCTAGTACTAATATAATATTCTGTATTGTATAAGTTAATAAATTAATAAAATGTTTAATTACCTTGCTCAACGACTTTTATTACATCTGAATAACAGTCATGCTTCACTAAAATTTAATTGATTTATATACAAATCAACATTTTTAAAAATGAAAAATATACATCAAGTATTTTATAATAAACTTAATAATTTAGTATATAATAAAAAAAACATGATAATTATTATTTGCTCAAAAATATAATTTTTAATATATTAAATGAACATTTTTTCTTTGTTACACAAAACAAAATTCTTAAATATAAAATTAATCAGATTAATAAATTGGTGGGCAAAGATATACACGATACTATTACAAAACAAAGTGCACTACTAAAATATGTGGTTGTAGAAATGTTGCCATTTTATGTAATACAAAATGTTTTGATAGTTTGTCATGTTGCAATTAGGAGAACTATTTCCCCAGTTTCTTTTTTTTTTAAAAAAAATAACAATTTTTGTAGAGTAAAATATTATTTTAAATAATAATACAAATATAATATTGTTTAATAATAATAATAATTAATTGATACAATTGAACATTACTTATTTTATATTTAGTGAAAATTTTCTAACAAAACTCTTTTTAATGTAAAACTCTATGTAATGTACAAATTACTTAATAATGGTTGGTTTGCTTTATAACCCATGCATTAGTTCTTTAACTTTTTTTATTTCGAAAATTCTTTAAGTATAACAAAAGAAATCGCTTGGTCCCTTAAGATTCATTATAAAGAGTTTTCAATGTATTGTCTATAGTCTATACTAAAATATGTGCAAATACGTATGTCAACATTAACTAAAACCATGTTGTATGTGTTAACATATACAACGAAAATCCTGATTTAAATGTAAACATTCACTAGTAAATGTCTAAATCTTTTTAATTATTCAACATTCATCAATTGTGGACATTCACAGTAACATATACATTTTAAGCATAATTTTATTTCAACATTATGTAATTCCCATATTTTAATACTGTTTATTAAAAAAAAAAAATGTTTAATAATAATAGTTTGATTAGTTCTAGTAACATTATACATTGATTAATTCTAGGTCAGTGGATTAGTGAAATTTGTTCCTTTGGAAGCTATGACAAATCGTATGGTTGTGTTGCTGTGTAATTTAAAACCATCTAAAATTAGAGGAATTCTATCTGAGGCAATGGTAATGTGCGCTAGTTCACCACCGGAAAATGTTGAAATATTAGAACCCCCTAAGGGTTCTGTGCCGGGTGATTATGTAAACGTTTCAGGATACACAAGGTCTCCAGACAAAGTATTAAAAGTATTCGAAGAAATTGCACAAGATTTAAAAACGGATGAAAACTTGCAAGCCACTTATAAATCAATTCCCTGGACTGTATCTGATAAAGGAGTTGTTGTAGCAGCATCTTTGAAAAATGTTAATATTAAATAATTTTATCTTATTTGGTTAGAATTTAAATTTCTTGTTATTTGAGCACTAAAAAATAATTAATATTTTTTTTTATTGATTTAAAATTAAAGAATACTGATTAATATAGGTAATAAAACATTTACCTATATTAATTTTTGTTTGACTTATAATAATTTTTAATATCAATTATTTGATGTTTGGATTGTATCTAGATTCTAGATATTTCATTATAATAATTACACCAACACAAAGAAGTCTATTCTGAAAATTATAATAATAACATTAATTTATTCAAAAAGAAGAATAAAACAGGCAAAAGCCTGTTAATAATACATATGATAAAAGCTAGAAATTATGTATTAAGAAATAATAAAATAAAGTACATGAAAGTATTTCAAATAATTTGTGCTGTGTGTTGGTATATAAAACAGAGAGGTTAAGTGGTTATTGTAAACTAGAATGTTTAAAGGGATACTAATTAATAAATCAGGAGGATCAATTTGATTTGATTTTAGTACAATAAAGGAGTTTGAATGATCGCAAATCTTTAAATCTGAAAAGTTAACAAAACCTAATATTCGTAGAGACTTTTTGATTACATGCTTAATGTGTTCCAAAAAATTTAAATTCTTTGTTATTCCTTTGTCTTTAATAATTGAAGTAATTGAATTGAGCTCAATGTTTTTTATAAAATACGTATGGCTTATTTGACTACTGTATTTGTAAAAACATATTACAGATGTGGCTACACTTTTTCTGGTAGATATCTACTAAGAATATATTTTTCCTTTGAGGATTGACTTCCTAACAAACATGTAAATGTATAATTATAAATTATCTAATAGGTATTAATAATAAACACACATGTTAAGCTAATAAATAATAATAAAAATGTATATTTAAATAAGTTTTTCATCACACTTTTATTAAGACTGATATAATATGGTAAACACATTTGCCAGCGTAAACTCTGTTGAATTGTATTATTTGATGAATCGACAACAAAATAATGATATATTAAGATAAAATGATCAGCAATTGTGATTTATCTACGAATTATAAAAAAATAAGTTGTAACAAAAGGGAATTGATATTTAAACCATCCATTATTTGTTGGTTGATCCTGATTAGTAATATTTACTATTATTTAGGCTTATTTCCCAGTTTTAACACCAGTCGGCTAAGATATTAAATTCTTTTGAAAAATTACACAATTATCTATTGATGAAACACGAGTGGAGATTTTTAAACAGTGTGATAGTTTTCGATGATAATTAGATGCTAGATACTAATTTGGTGAAATGCTTACATTTTGTAAAACTATTTGTAATACAATTTAATGTGTCTTGTAGTCTGACCATTTTATTCAGACGAAAACAAATTGAAGTTTTATTAATAATATAATTAATTATGAATACCTCTGTGATCGAGAGGCGACCGATTTTAATATTTTTAAGAGGTGGTGTGTGGGTAATAGCTAATGAGTAACAATTTAGTTTTATAATTTTGATAAATGTATGAAAATGACTCACAAAAAAAAAAATTGTTGATATTAATAATATTAATAGTCAGTAGCCGCCATCCATAAGGTGGTAATAGCGAGTCAACAAATCCATACTATGAACGATTAATCAGTATTTATCTTTATAAGTTTAATACATAAGAGGTAGTTAAGGTGCAGCTTCGATAGTGGACAAAATGAGAGAAAATAGACCGAGATGACTTGGGCATGTCATGAGGAGAGACGAATCAGAAGCAGTAAGAATTGTAACTAAAATAGACGTATAGAAGGGAAGAAGACCGAAAAAGAGGTTGTTGGGTGTGATTGAGAATATGAGGATGGTGGGTGCATGTATGCAAGGAAGACGTGGATGATCGGATAAAGTGGACTTTTGGGAGGAGGGTGGCTGACTCAAAATAGTTTTTAACAATATTTACCACTGATAAAGATATTGTAATTGATCGTAATGAAGTGAGAGATTCAGAGTTTATTGTTTAAATCATAAAGCATCAAGTGGAAAATTAGCATTTTAATTATTGCTGACCTTAAAGCTGTGAACAGACTATTGTCACGTCACGCGGGCTCACGTGCTATCACGGCACCCCACGGCTCGCGGATAAAGTGTAGATAGTGTGTAGTTAAATGTATAAGAACCACACTACAGTCACGTCGCGCGTATCACGTCACGTTATCAACCAACCTCATCACGTGACAGCGCGGTTATTATTTCTGAAAATTCACGCATTTCCGACTCGCGTAACGTCACGTTAACATACATTTTTTTCGGAGTTAGATATTACTGTATTCGAAATGGACGAGCAATTAATTGAAAAAGTTAGAGAGCACGAATTTCACGCGGCTCACGTGATTATCGCGATCAGCATGTACGACAAACAGCTTGGGAAGAAATTGGGAAAGAGCCACAAATATCAGGTGAATACAAATATAACTTTTTAAATTAAATCACCATGTGTATTGTCAATCGTTAAAAATCATAAATATTACGACAGAAAACTCGGACATAAAATTGTAAAACGCAAGTGCGCTGCCTTTGTATATTATATAGGCGTATTGGTAGTGAAATATATAAATAACTTATCGGACCTTTATATACCAGCGTTTTATGTGAAAAATACATAAATAATGTCGTTTATAATATTACTATAATACGCGCAGAGCAGTATTATAATAGTGCACTAGACTATATTATATATTATTCACTTTTACTACACTATATATTATCCAATATTATTTTTACACAACCATATCATATCTTTTCGAATCACATTTCATGTACAAAAATAAACATATATTAAAATAACATCAAAACATACAAATCAAACTCTTCCATCGTCATTCGAAAATATACGTGGAATCATTTCGGATTTTTTTTTAATTCCTTAACAAGTCTACGAAACTCGCCCAATGTGTTTCTAATTCCTCTACCCAATTCGATAAACTACTTGAACTTCCACAATCCATTTTTCAGAAGAAAAAAAAAACACAACCCCCGGGTATAATGATGGACAACCGACTAAATACTGTGATGTGACAAAGCATGATAACAGAATATATGACAGTAGTGTATTTCCAAACATGACATCTCGGTTTAAATGTGTTAATGTGATAGCACGTGTGCTCACGTGACGTGACAATAGTCCGTTCGCAGCTTAACCTCATTTAGATCAAAGTGACCTTTTAAACAATTTCTCTCGAGGTAGTTATGTTATTTTAATTAGTTTTATAATATTATTAATATGACTTGAAAATTGTCTGCGAGTAATAATCGTTTGCCGTCCTACAACTACGCTTATCTACTTATATGACAATTTTTAAGAAAATGATAAACGCACAGTGTTGAATCTTCATATGTATAATTGATCATTAGTAGTGGATCGTAGATTCGTCGGCAGGTAGGTGAGTATTGTGAACGCCCGTTCTTTCATACGTTTATTGTAGAAATATTCAATTGCAGAACTTTAAAATTTTCAAATGGCGCCCCTGCAGTCATAGCGCCCGATACGAGAATATACGATGAATAGGTAATTGTAATTTTTTTATTTTGTTTAGAGAATATTAACATCATATTTTAGGTGTTTTAAGAGAATGTAAATCCGGACTATACTTACCGGACCGGCATATAATAATTAATACTATAGCAGTACCTATAACATTTCTTCTTCTAATGTGTCTGGCCAAACATGGCGAACGTAACGATGATAAAATTGTTGCACTATTATAAACGCGTTTACTGCAGTATATCGCTTAGAAACGGAGATACTTACAAAAAACGAAATTCTACACCCGGACATATTCAACACTATAATTTAAAAACAAACAGTTCCGGAAATAATGGTTTCATGATTTTCGTTGTTATAATGCAGTAAAAATAATCGTAGAGACTTGAGATTTTCACAGAGTACTTATATTAACCTTTTATAGGCGCCGTAAAATTATTCTGACGTTTTTTAAGTTTCGACATTAATTGCTAGTTTTTTTTTCTTTTGTTAGTATTTAATTTTATGTGGATAAATAGATTTGGCCGAACATAAATGCATGCAAATTGTATACGGGGTTCATCATAAGTGTTATACTAGGTGGTTAAAAAAAATAGCTTAGCGTAATTTAGTAGTTTTAGATTCTAGGCGGAGCGAAGAATGTATTGGTTTTACAATGGTATTTATTTTTATTGAATATTATAGTATTTCAAAACGCGTATAACCGAACTCTGCTCAGAGTCGTTTATCGTTAGCAAAGATTGATTGTTGCTTACAGATATACATTAAATTCCTCTCTATATCCTACCTTCCCAACTTCTAACCTACAACAGTGGCCCACCCATGGTGCAAAGTATGTTCGTCTTTTTTTATACGTGTATTTAAAGTTAAAATTCCAATAGTAGTCGTAAAATCCACGACATTTCACTTTGGTACTATTTTTTCGAAATATGTGAATATGATTATTGCCCAAATCAATTAAAATAAAATGTTACTTAATTATAAATCATACACAGGTAAATTATAATAGATATCTAAAGTTTTCGTAAAAAATAACCAATATTGCTGATGGCGCGCACCGGTTGTAAGTGGGAAGTTGGAAAGATATAGAAAATATAAAGTTATTTAATGTATTTCCGTATGCAACGATAAACCATGGCTAACGAAAAATGGTTTGGAGCGAATTTCGATTATTGAGAGGCCGTTTATACATATTCGATTTTTTTCAAAATTTGATAATAAAAATACATTACAATACACTCAATTTTATTTTATTATTATTTTTTTTTTTTGACAAGTACGACTTATAATGAATCTCCTGTTAAATTATCAAGCATTTTTGTTTCATTGAATAATTTTATACACATACTAACAACAAAACTAGAAAATGTCAAATAACCCCCCCCCCCAAAAAAAAAATCACCATAATGTTTTAAAAATTTTACCGCGTATAGAAAAGGTAAATATAAGTTTTCTGTAAAAATCTTTAGTCTCTACGAATATTTTTAACTGAATTACAACGAAAAAACAAAATTGAAAATAATATAAATATTATTTTCGTAAATTTTCCTGCTTTTTTCCGAATGATTATGAAAACCACTTGGCAAATCTAAAAATAACTCCCATAAAGTACTAACTAGATAAAATTTAATTTCAGCAAAACTGCTACGCTTGATAATCGGAGCAAGATTTCTGGAAGAAATTTTTTACACAGCTTAAATAAAAACGTTAACATCACTGTAAAAACCAACACCTATATTGTTTCGCTCAAAATTCAAAATTTTTATGTGAAATATTCATATCTGCATTACCTATATTGTTAACGTTTATTTGATTATTTATTAGTTTTCAATATTATAATAGCTGTCCAATGAGGTTTTCCCATTTTTTTTAAAAACGAGCCGCCGCCTTTTTAGCAGACGAACGGGCGACGACGGTCCGAGGTCTATGATGACACCGATGACTATTTCATCGGTATACAGGGTGTTCCGAATTTTATAAGACAGTAGATTTCACTATGTCATATTTAGTTTTTTTTTTTTTATTATTATTATTGACATATTATATGAAAAATGTGGACACATAAGATGTAAACGAATAAAATCAATTTATTATTTTAATTATTTTGATTTATTTAATATTTATTAAAATTAGGTACCAGGCACCACCTACAATACTGAACATATTTGTCTATCAATGAAATGTTTAGACTTTAGATTCTGAGCAATTTACTATAACGCGAGTAATTTTTCTTCTTTGGTTTTTTTTTTGTCTATGATTAATTTTTTTTTATCAGTAATCTTTCTCTGAATATTAGCTTCGGTAATGGTTTAAACGACCACTGAATTCAAGCGGCAAATTTTTTATAGTTAATTCATTGGAGAGTTATTTTTTAAATTTTTTTTTGATTTTCCAAGTAACAGTCTTCTTAATAATTAATAATTACGCCGGAAAACCGGAAATATTTAGATACGCCATTATGGTTTCTTTTATGTTTGATTTTGTTTTAATTAAAAATAATATCGTAGAGACTTGACGTTTTTACCGAATACTTGTATTAGCACTTTCTACACGTGGTGTAATTTTTATAATGTTCTATGGTTTTTCTAGGTGTTTTTTCGGTTTTATGTGGCTACACATTTTTAACCTCTTTTTATCAGCGTTGTTTTAAGTTCAAATTTATGTTGAACTGTCAAATTCACAAACAACACAAACAGTTGTAAATTATTTTGTTGTGACAAATTAATATACCTACAAGTTCAATGCGTTTGATTTAAATCTATTGCCAAAAAATGTTTTATTTTTTTTTTTTTGGTCTTTAGGTATGACGAAAAGTTTTAAACTATTGTTAGACCATATATATTATTTCTGTCCGATGAATGGGTTTTTCGTTGTTTTATCATATTGATAATATTATGCTAGGTATGTTTTTATCTTTAACTGTAATCATAGAATATAATACTCTGTGTTAAGACCGTGATTTTCATTACAGTATTTTATTTGGTCTCGTAATTTAAGTTTTTCCTTTGGAGAGCTAAACATAAAATATTATACTTTCGTTACTTTTATAACACACCATTGGTGTCTGACGGGTTTGGCACGATCAAGGCGGACCAGGCCAACTAGATTGCGTTGATGCATTATTATCCCCCCAAAAAACAAGTAAATACAGCCTATACTTGGCTACCTTTTAAAAACATCACGCGCCATATTATATATTGTGCAGTTTGTCATTCGAATTTTAAACGATATTGTTATCTACTCTTGAAATTTCCCAATTTTTTTTTCAACAAACCATTAAAAACTATCGTAAAACCATATTTTATAAAATATAGTATTATTACATGAGCCCAAAAAATTTTCACGCTCCCACAGGTCATTTTAGAAAGGAGGGGGGAGGGAATTAATCAATATTTCATAGATACCTATAATAGATAGTGAAATCTATATATTGTAACAGTCGCAAAAAATGTATACGACCCTGTACATTATCGTGTTATTATTACGCTATTACAATAATGGTAACAGTCCGGTTTGTTATTGTTATTGTTATTACTATCATGTACACGACGCGGCCGGAGCGTATAGCTACACGGAAGAATTTAGGACATCAACGTGACAGTACCGCGAGTGTAGGTGAACCGTCAACACCTGTGCGTTTTTCGACTACTTATGTACAATGATTTTTATTGAATGTGCCTATCTCTATTAAACGAGTACATTTTATACGACGAGTTAGTTCTTGTGTCGCGTTAAAATACGTTAAAATACGCGGACGGTGCACGTGCATATTAACGCGGGCATACTTAACGACATAATTATTGGCGTTTCGAGTACATAGCTAATGTTATAATTTGTTTCTCCCCCGAAATATTTGTATTCGTTCGAGTGCACCAAAGATACCAATTTAATATTCGAAACGTATACCCACCCATAGGTATATTAGTATAATGTTCAAAACGACGGACAAAGAGGTAAAACGATTTTATCTATACGCGTTATTATATACAACCCGCAGAGGGGTAGATAACAATATTTCCCATAATAATTGTTATATTACACCAACGCCTTTATATACTGTTTGAAACACGTGCAGGGCCGTGTTTAGGATTTGCGAGGCCCAGGGCGAAATTTCGAACGTTTTCATGTTATATTTATATTATATTTCGTGTTTTTTTTTCTTCTAAAACGCGAGAAATTAAATCTTAGTAAAAACGGGCTCTGCCTCATCCCATTTAGGGCACGTGCTACGCTATTTTACAACGGTAAATATTCGTTTTGAATTGGTTGTATATTCTTTTCGCATGTATACGTTATCGTAGATGTTAGTTTTGAGTTATCGATAAAAAAAAATGAAAACTATTGGGCTATACATTTAAAACCATATATTTTTTCTGCTTGAGAATCACACAAAATCTAGCGACAGCAATACGACTGTTTTGTATAATATTCACTCATCATACTGTAATCACTAATTAGATAGTATTGAGTACCTAACTTAATTCATTAATCGATAGGATTTATAAGCGTAGTTTGCAGGAGCAAACTCAGTAGGACATTTCTGGGGTGGGGGAAGATAAGATTGAACTAATATCATACTATTTGCATCATTGTAAAATTATTAATAGCGTGGAATTATTTAATATTTATTGGACAAATTATATGTAATACTTTGTGTTTGGGATCCCTGCTTACATTAGCCACTAATAGTTTGTTATTGCGATCATAGTTTTTAATAGACAACGGCAGTCGTGGCAATAAGGGTACATTCATTGACATGTCCATGCTTTTTCATTAGGGGGGGAGGATAAAAATGGTAAATGAAAATTAGGTACATATATTATAATAACGCAAGCAAATGCTTATATATATAAATACATATATTTTTGGTTTTAATTTTTAATTTATTATAATTTTGTCTTGGTAAGTAATATTTTCCTTTTGTTTGTCGGTTCAAATTGTATAAGTGTATGTGTGTATACATTATTAAAATAAGTGTAGTCCACTTTTGTGTTAAAGTTTATTTACAGTGTAACTATTACTGTACAAGACGTATATGTTTTCCAAATTTTAATTTGATTGTATGGAAAACTATTGACTTTAGCAGTCTTAGCAGTCAAGCCTTTCTTCCCTGGAACCAAAGGTAGAATACCTATCTATAATCTACATAATTTATATATTTGTAAAGTTTTTTTGTTGAGGTTATTCTAGAAATTGTTGTTGTACAATAATTATTTGTTGAGTAAATAAGTTAAGTGTTTAGTTGAATAAGTAGGTTAAGTAGTGCACATGATCTTATTATTTTATTAGTACCTAATTATAGTTTCCAATGCTGAATAGTTTATATTGTCATTATTTTTTTTTATTTTAACACGGTAAATGTGAGTGGGGGCTGAATAACCCTTAGCCCTCCCCCTCTGTTTACGATTATAGGTACCAATAATTTAACAAAATTAAAAGTATGCTCGAACTGGGAAATAATCGTATTATTTATAATTCCTATTATACAAGTAATACCCATGTAACTCACTCGTTATAATCGCGTTTTGTGTACTTATTCCGTACCTACCTACTTATATAATATTATTATAAGTACTGTATGTTTGGAACGCACGATAAGAAAGACGGAGATTATTATATTTTCGAACCTTTAAACAATGATTTATTCGTCACGATTAAATTAATTTAATTCTTATAATAATTATTCGATAATTATTCGTCCGTAAGAACTAGAAATTTACCCAGACTGCATACGATAGTAGACAATCGAATTAGTAACTTTATAATAAGAGTGATCGTCGAGAATCCTCGGTACGACACACGCATCATCTCGAAAACAATAAATTATTTTTAATATTTGTATTGGGGGCAATTAAGGATTTAAGCATATCTAATGTCTCTCTACAATTTTTCACCGACCTTATTTTCGGGGTTCAAACCACTGTATCTGCTTTTAATTTTCAAATAACAAATTATATTGACAATTTTATATATATATGAAGTTTTAATTTAAGTACGTTTTGGTGTTGATATTTTTTATTTCCGTTAATTTGTCGACGAAATAGTTCACTTTTAAGTTTGAGCAGGAGAGAGTATAGCGGAGCACTATATTCGAACGGCGGCGTTTGACGATAAATTATCACCCAAACATAAAAGTGGAATATCTCGTCAACAAGTTGATGGAAATAAAAAAATGTCGACATCAAAACGTATTTAAATTAAAACTTAATCCATTTATGGATACAGATTGCTATTTAAAAGTGGTTTCATCCCCAAAATAAGAATGATAAAAAAAAAAACCCATGATACTAAAATTTCGGAACTGCTTGTCCGAACAATAAATATTAAAAAAATAGCGGATACTGGGGACGGATGTGCCACTGTTGTTGATGGAAAGTTAAAATGGTAGATTAGATAAAATTTCCTTTCAGAATACGTTTCGAATGTAATAGGTAGGTATGGTTTTTGTTTTCCGAGATATGAAAAGTCTTATCAAGGATTGATCACTCTGTATGGAGATAAAGGAGCAAAAAATTAGTATATGTGTGCATAGGTTTATAGGGTACAACGGTACATCATTTGAATGTCGATCTATACAATAATTACATTGGTTAATAGAAAAATTAAAAGAATGTGGTGCTAAGGTTTTTTAGAAAAATATTGATTAATTTGAGAATGCTGAATATTAAAATATGTTACAAGTTTCGTCAAATAGGCTCGTATTTTCACCATAATAATCTAATAATCTTCTTCTCTTTCTATTCTATATAAATATATATATATATATACCGAGTGATCCATTTAAGTAGGTACACTCATTATCTCGGAAAGTATTAACTTTTTTCGGAATTTATTTTCTAGAACATTTAAGATAACAAGCAGCTCTACAATTTTATAATTATGTTATTTTTTGTCACCCTTAATTTTGGGGATAAAACTACTAAACCTAATTTTGATTTTCAAATAGCAACCTATATTAGAAATTCCATACATAGATGAAGTATTAGTTAAAAAAAAAATTAGTATTGAAATTTTTGATTTCTGTCAATCCGTTAACGAGATATTCCACTTTGGGTTTGGGTTGGAGGAGTAGAGTAGTAGAGTATCATTTATGCGGTAAGGCGTGCGGCATGTTAATGCACCACTCAACTCTTCTACAAACCATACCAAAAAGTGAAATATCTCGTCAACCGCTAGAGAGAAATCAAAAATTTCAATACTAAATTTTTTTTTAACTAATACTTCATCTATGTATGGACTTTCTAATATAGGTTGTTATTTGAAAATCAAAATTAGGTAGTAGTTTTACTTCAAAAATTAAAGGTGACAAAAAATAACATAATTATAAAATTGTAGAGCTGCTTGTTTACTTAAATTTTCTAGAATATAAATTCCGAAAAAAGTTAATAATTTCCGAGATAATGAGTGTACCCATTTAAATGGATATCACCTGGTATACATATATATAAATTAATATATGTTCGTTTGTCCTTTATGTATATAATACACCATTCATCTGATCGCCATGAAACTTTAAAGAGTTGTTCCACGTGGTCCGGAGAAGGTTTATAACTACTGAAATCCACTCCCCAGTCCCAATATTTAATATCATTTCCTAGAATTCGGTTTTTAGGTAATTTTAGTATACAAATTCGATTATTATTTTTGTCGATTTATGCGTTACCACGGTAACACGGATAAAAAAAAAAACTATTTTTACTAAATTTTGTAATGCAATCCCTATGATGTGCAGGTATCTGTGGTAATATCATATTATACATTATGATGATAGTATTTATATTTTAACTGTCTTTAGAAACTTTTTTATTTCACGGACAAAAACGGGTGGGACAGCTTGCAGTATCTAAAATTCCTGAAATTAAGTTTAAATACACACAATCTTTTCAGACTATTTGTAATTTTATCTTATCGTTTAAAATGTTTTAATATAAATAATATTTACGATTATTATTATACAATTAAAATAAAATTTGAGCACATAAGAACACATTCGATAGTAAAAATTAATTGTGATGATAAAGTATTCATAACAAGCACAGTATTAGTATAATACTGTGTAATTAGTATAATTAGCATAGTTTAATACATTTTTTCAAAGATTCGCATATTTTTCTATTGACAGCGATTATATGCTAATAATAACGTAGTAAACAAACTAATGATTTTTTAAAAATTCTTACAAAATTTCGTTTTTAATGGTGGTTAATTCATAATTGTGAATTAAACTAAAAAAAAAGAGTTACAGTGAAATGTTAAGATTAGTTTTTTGACAAATAACTATCAAATTAAATTTCAGAGGGTCGGAAAACAGATTCAATTTAACAGATCAGTTCCAAATTTTACACAGCTTTTTGATAACACTATAAACTTATATTTAAGAGGAAAAATAAAAAAAAAAGATTAGGTTTTTTTTTATTAGAATTTAACTATATAATTTTTTAGTTTTTATGAACTAGTAATTTTCTCAAAAAGGAATTAACCTTACAAATCTGATACCCGGATTCGGAATTAGCAATGAAATTCCATATAGAATTCACTATTAATTTGCTGGCCACAAAAATTGTTGGCCGGTGATTATTATTACATAGGAATTATTTTTTATTCCTACTAAAATAAAATGATAAAAAAACAAGCATCAATAATTGCGTGGACGGGGCTAGTGCCAGATTTAAAGGGGGGAGGAAGAGGCCAATAAGTGAGCTTGCTCCGGGCTCCTAAATTTTCAGAGGCACCGAAAACGTTTAAAATATAAGTGATTTTTTAAGAGTAAAAACAAAATCTAATAGGTAGGTAAATATCAAAAATGTAATATTTTTGTATAAATACGTTTAAATTTCTCGCCAATGATTAGTCCTGTATGTAACTATTTATTTATGATTTTTTTTTTTTGTCGATTTATCATATAAAATACTTGATAGCAAATTTGAAAAAA